ACTGTTGTTATTTTGAGATCTTGGGGATTTTATGATTGTATTTTGATATGAAGCTTGGAATAATTATATTTAGTTGAATAAAATCACTTTATTTTAATAAAAAATTTGTTTGAAAATTTACGTTGTTATACAAATGTTTGTATAAGTTTGATGAAAATATTTGTAAATGTTTGTATCTCCTAGAAAATCCTATATTTTCTACTTATCATGAAATGTAGGCTTCTACCAAGACTCGAAGGTTCTACATGTTATTTGTTTTTAAAAGTGAGTTTTATTCCCAATTATGACTATCATTACCAAAATATAGTTTACATTTCCGTTTATGTGAGAAGATCACAATGTGAAAGCAATGGGAAAATAAAGATGTATTGTAGTATTGTATATAGTAACTACTTTTGTACTAACTACCTTAAAACAATTGTTTAATTAAGGTAAAATGTGATGAGATTATAACCATACTTGATTGGCTAGTAAAACACGACAATCAAAGATGTCAAAATGGTATGACATTCGTCACCCGTAGACCTGCAGATCCCACTATAGCTAGCAGCAAGGTGTAGGATGGTCAATCCCCATATAGATCTATACAAAAATTCACGCTCTCCCTCCAGGAGACTCTGGTTACAAAACGTAACACAACAGTATATTACCATGCCATGAAGTAGTGGCTCACATTAATGTTATAGTATTCTTGTATTTGCATAGTATGTTATATCTGTTCTAGTGCATTGTATGTTCTCTTTGTATAGTATGTTCCTCCCTGATTCTCATTATAGTATGTTTGAACTGAATCATGTATGAACTGACTCTTGTATGTTTCATTTACTAGAAATAGTGAGTAGTAGTCCTCTAAACTGTACCTATTATAGTTTACTAGTAATGTTGTTTGAAGGACTGAGTGTGCTTGTACACCTTTGCTACCCAAAGGTGTTGAACTGATGTAAGAACTTTTATATCTATACACATATACATAATATATAACTAAGATCCAAACGACACTCGGACAAACATCCGATATCCTAAGTCCACAACCAAATAAGGAATAGGAAATAATGCGAGTTATCAGTCCTAATCCCTTTCAACCTTATTTATATAACTATATCTATATAGACATGATTTTGACAATATATAAGTTTTAAAAAGAGTTTGATAAATAATTTAGCATATAAAAGGGGTTTTAACATATAAAGGATTTTTAACCATTTGAATGGTTACAGATGACTTGATGTCAATTTATAAAGCGTTTTGAAATAGTTTGTTTGATAACACAATTTTAAAGTATAAGAAATCCATTTGTTTGATAGTTATTAATCACATGTGATTGATATAATAACTATAATGTTTCTACTTGTTTCCCCCCACCCCTAAAAGCATTTAAAATCATTTAAAATATAAGTTAGGGGTATGAACTCACCTATAGTGAGTGATTCGAATGTAAGATCGATATAGGATGCTAAGTGTCAAGTGAAGCCTCGAGCACAAACGGATCCTATTAAGCATATAATGACACACACACACACACACACCCACACCCACACACACACACACACACACATATATATATATATATATATATATATATATATAACTAGTGTATATAACAACTAATCATGATAGAGAACCACCTTAGGGACTAGGAAACACTTGGATTGAAGAGTTAAAATCACATATGATTGTTCTAAGGGGGTTTACAGCCACACAAGGGTGTTCACGACCATGGTGTTTACGGCCATTGATGTTTTCGGCCAACACATGAAATGGATTGTGTTTACGGCTAAAGGTGTTCTTCATAGGGGTTTACAGCCAAAGGAGATGTTATGGCCGTAAACTCTTATTGTTCTTGAGGAATGGTTGTTTCCAATGGTGTATGTCAAGAGCTTCTAAAGGGTAACTAGTATATGGAAAGGATACTTACGTTTTGAAGCTTGAAGGGGTGTTCACAGTCTAAAGAAATAGTAGGTGTTCTTGGTGTAAGTGATGAAGATTTGAAGATTAACGCAAAAGAGATGAATTCATGGATGAAATCATAGAGTTTTACTAGATTAAGAAGGATATCAACTTATAAATGGAAGGATCACATACACTTTTGAAGATCAAGATGAATATTCTTGATGATACTTGAGACAGAATCGAGTTTCTTGAATTGGAAGTGTGAGAAAAGGTGAAAAAGTGAAGGAATATCATACTTAGGGAGCTAGTTCACGGCCAAACAATCATTTACGGCTGTGAACCTTAGTTTATGGCCGTAAACTCCACATGATGGAGTTTTCTGGCTTGAATGCTGCATACTGAACTCTAGGAGATACTTCCTAACACCCAATCCTTGAATGTACTAGGCTTAGAACACTAAAATAAAACATAAACACTGCTAAAAGATAGCAGAAACAAGTCTGACTTTAGATCGAATTAATTGGCTTTACAAGATAGAAGCTTCGGGTTGTCACACTACAATATTAAGTATGTAGTGATTCGCATGTAAGTCACAAGTGAATCATATATGAATTACATGTGATTCACATGTAAATCACAAGTGAATCATATATGAATCACACGGGATTCAGATGTAAATCACATGGGATTCACATGTAAATCACACGTGATTCACATGTAAATCACACGTAAATCACATATGAATTACATCTATTTTCACACATGCATTTTGTGCGAGGGTTCTTCGTTAATTATTTTTAAAATTTTTATTGTGAATTTCACATCTGAATCCTAATAGATACTATCACATGTGAATATCACATTATATAATCACATGTGAATCTTACATGATATAATCGCATGTGAATCTTACATTATATATTCATATGAAAGTTTTTGAATCTTACATTATATATTTATATGGAATTTTGTGAGTGTTCTTGCATTAATAATTTTTTTGTTTTTAATTTTATTGTAGACTTGGAAGAATTTGTAAAAAATATTGAAGAGGTGAAAAGTGACAAATTAAAGAAAATATAGAAATGTTTACACGAAGAAATGATAACACTTTCAATCTGTAAAACATTTGTTGTTTATATATATATATATATATATATATATATATATATATATATATATATATATATATATATATATATATATATTATTTTGTATCGAATAAAATACCTGTACCTATTGTATTTATAATTAGTAAATAAAAATGAGTTTTTTATGATTTACTTATGAACATTCTAGTATAAGAAATATACATATATTCACTTGAAAAAAAATATGTATATATTCACTTGAAAAAATATGTATATATGCACAAGAAGCATTAATTTTTTTTTGTTAAAAAATATAGTTATTTATTTTTATTTTTTTATAAATATTCCAGTTATTTTAAAATGTACTGATTTTTGAAAACTGGTTGTTTTTTAGAAAAATTGTAGACCGAAAAAAATATATATTTATTATTTTTTTTTAAAAAATTCATACTTTCTAAAAAAAATATGCATTTCTTAAAAACATTGAAAATTACTAGTTTTATAAAAAATCCAAAATTTTGATTTATTATGTTAATTAGACAATTTTATTAATAATTCTATTACCACAAAAAATTAAAGATTAAATGAGATTGCAAAGGTGACGATCATACTCTTAATGAGTTAATTTTGATCTAACGCTGTTTTTAGGTTCTCGAAAAACTATGAAAAACTATGAGTTGTCAACTTATCTAACGATATATATATATATATATATATATATATATATATATATATATATATATATATATATATATATATATATATATATATATATATATATATATATATATATATAATTTATTGAATTTAATTTAACCTCGCAAAACATAAATTTATTGCGTCGCATACCAAAACCAAATTATGTTTTGTATCCCTCATTCCAAAAGTATTACTTAGCAAACTAGACACATTGTCCCTCGTAGCGATAGAAATGGTTTGAAATGAATTATAGATGGTCTACATCATCAATTTTATTGTAATAAAAAGTAGTTTAAATTTAAATGTAATGCCCAAAATGTAAATAAACATCATGCACGTTGAGTTTAGTAAGAAAATATTAAATGGATTGGGTTTGTTTTGATGATTATTAAATTTTATGATTATGGTTTTGTTTGCTATATATATATATATATATATATATATATATATATATATATATATATATATATATATATATATATATATATATATATATATATATATATATATATATAGAGTGTATGTTAATCTTTTTATATTGATATGAACTAGTATGATAATTGATTTCCGATTCATCCATGTTTCTAGAATTCTAATGTTTTATCTTATTTTTCTCCACACACAAACACATAAGTTTTAACATTAGAAACAAATATAAAAAACAAGTTCAAACATTAAAAATACATATAAAAACAAGGTGTAAATCACTTCAAAACATTAAAAAAAATACCAAATCATAAGTTTTACATCAATTCATATATATAAAAAATATAAAATATAATATTGAAAAGAAATATTGTTTTAGATGAATACATATGCTTCAAAAAGTTTCATAACATTTGAATGTGACTAGGAAGGATGTGGTAATGTCTGTTGAAATTATGGTGCTGCAAGTCTTATAGAATTTTTAAAACTTTAGGTTTTCTGAACGAAAAATTATCGGGAAGACACTCTTCTTGATATTATTAGATTACATTCTTATAATTGGTATTATTTTAGGAACTATAAAATGTCTTGAGATTGGCACGTTTTGCTCCAATACCTTTGAGCTTGTAATTTTGTATTTTGGTTTGTTTTGCTAGTTTTTTGCTAGTATTTTGTATTAAGAGAAGTCTAAAGAGACATGAAAAAACCACCAAATATTATTTGGTAAAATGTTTCATTTTCATGTATATTATTCAGTTTAACAGGTTCAACCACTTTTTTTTTTTATGAAACCGTTTTGTTCCTGTCCAAAAATTGATATAAAACCAGTGTTAGTTGAACCATTCTTTTAACCAGTTTCCAGTCGAATTGGTTCAAACCACCAATTCAAATCTTTTGTTTTTGTTTTTGTTTTAGTATTATTGATAGGTAATCTAGGATGGAAGGATAAATCGCTATCATTTCTTATTCCAAAATAAAATATGTGTAAACATTTAATAAAAAAAAAAAAGAACCTTAATAGATAAGATAAAATTTAGTAATCCGTTAAGAAGATCCACCATTAACCACTGGCAACGAAATGCAGTGTTCATTTTCTGATCAATAGCACCTCACTAACTAATTTATCAAAGTTGAGATAAGAAGATCCACCAATAGCAACAGCTTCTTCGGCTTTTGTCTTCCACTCTGAGGCCTTGCTTTTCATCATCTTCCCCTTCTTCCCATCCATCATCTCCCTCACCTGAGCCTCCACCTCCTCTCTCTTCACATCTGTATCAATTTCCATTCCAATCCCCCACTCTACACAACTATACCGACAATTTGTTTGTTGCTCGGCAAAAAACGGCCAACAAATCACTGGAACACCGCTGCTAATACTCTCAATAGTCGAGTTCCATCCACTGTGTGTCAAGAATCCCCCAATCGCTGGGTGCTTTAAAACCTTCACGCGTAGATCAATCAAACGACTTTTCAGTATTCAGATTATACATTAGGCATGTCATGATTAAAAGGTGCACACAAACCAATGTCATCTTCCGTCCAAGCTCATATGATGACTTAAGTACTCTCCTTAATTTATTCTTCTTGATTTTTTTATTTTTTTTTGTTTACTTTTCTAGTATTGCATGTGTAATTCCTAAACAAAGTTGATGTCACAAATCACAAATTGCAATGGGGTCGCCGTTTTTTCTCCTGTTTATTTTTCAACGAGATGGTTCTTCTTTTTCTTTTATTTGTTGAATACCAACATGGATAAGAATTATGATGGTACGTGATCGTTTATCGTCTTATTCACTTTTCTATCGAAGAAACTAAGTGGGAACAAAAAAACGTATAGATATTTTATCAACTAATATTACTTTTTATACTCTAGAACATATATTTTGTCTGCATGCAGTACCTGTTCTTGAGGGCACCAACTGGTCATCATGGCTCTCTCTTTCGTCTCATCAACGAATTCAGGTGGCATCATGGCTTCATTGTCACCCACGATGTCTGGCCTCGTTACCCACAAGAAATCCTTCTTGCTATTAGCAAGTCCCCACCCGAACTCAGTGAGTTGTTCTTTCGACATAACTGTAATACTTCCAAAGTTGACAAAAACAACTGATCCAGGATCTTTCGTGTCAAGCCAATTGATGCAGCTCACATCTTCCTTCCAAAGATTGGACCCAATTTGTTTGAGACGTTCATCATGCACATGTTCTTGCATCAGGTGAAGTGGGCCTATGGTGAAGGTTCGTGGGTTCATGGTACATATGGGATTAACGCTGTCTTGTTCTAAGGCATCAAATGTGTTAAGGACCACAGCAGAGCCTCTAGGGAGAGTCTCAGCTTCCGTCATGAGATAGTTGAACATGATATCGTTTATATCTGTGGTTCGAATGAAGCTTGGGAAGTCCCTTAATTTGATGTTTTTCATCCCAGGAACCCAATCTAACGTTGTTTCTAAATATCCATTTGTTACGTAGCTCATATCTGGTTAACAATAATTAACTAGTATTTGAGTAATTAAATGAAGAAAGTGGAATTCAAAAATACTATACGAAATAAAACAAATAATTGTCTAATGAAACCCTAAATCAAATTAGTGTTGAGTAATTATTTGCAGAAACTTTATGATATAATAATCTGTATCCTGATATAATAATCAGCTAATCCAAGTTCGATTCTTTACCGACGCAACATATGTGTTTTCTTTTGTTAATTAGTATCCTAAGCTTCTTTTAAGTTAGATTTTTTCTTTTATTATCTTCCTTTTTATTGGTTTATGCTACAAAAACAGTATATATAGAAATTGTTTTGTTTTAGCCAAATCTTTATTTTTTGTTATTATATTCTACAAAACGTTTTTATTTTCGGGCCGTGAACGGTCATCCACAGGTCATGACTAGTGGTGGACGTAGAAGATTCCAATATATTTGTGACACCAAAAAATAATAGTGGTAGTAATTTTGTATAGAGGTTGCACACTAATAGAAAAACAATTTTTTAACATGGAGCTAAAAGGGAGTAGTGGCCTGAGAGGTTGGGACTTCTCGAGAACCACTAAGGTCCAATGCCGATGATGACGTATCCGGCTGCCAATTTTCCTTAGTTTGCATTTAGCTAACATTTATATATGAGTTTGCATTTAGCTCAAATATTATTTTTATTCCCTATTTGTCATTATTTTTAAGAAAAATTTCAATTTAACCCTTATCCAATCACAGTTAGATAATTTAAAAATTAATAACTTAAAATGAAAAAAAAAGATGGAGGCAAGAGCCAATAAAAATGTTAATCCATTTGTAACTCAACTTAGAAACAATTAGTTTTTTCTAATGCTATATTTAATGTACATATACATTTTAAAATGAAGGAAAAAGACCTAGTATAAGTCTTGAATCCGTAACATCTAATAAACAATATGACATGCTAATATTTAAATAAGTCAAAATTCTTAATTTATTCGTAATTCATCTAAAAAATAATTGGTTATTTCTAATGACATATTTATTAGGAAACCAAATATTTTTAATGACATATTTATATAAAAACCAAACAAATGATAATTTTTATTAGCTCAAAGATTAACATGTCACATCGTTTATTAGATGATTCGGATTCGATATTTACATTAGGTCTTTTTTCTTCATTTTAAAATCCATGTATACATTAAATACAACAAATACTGATAATACAAAAAAGAGAGCCATTGCTTACCGTCTAACATACCCTGCCTTCAAGACAAAATCGTAGTCCCGACTCTTGCATTCATTTTTTTATTTTTTATTTTTCATTTTAAGTTATTAAATTTTAAAATAACTATTTGTGACTGGCTAATGGTTAAGAAAATTTTTCTAAAAGTTAATAGCAAATGTGGAACAAAAAAATGTTGGGCTAAATACAATCTCATATTTAAATGTTGGGGCTAAATGCAAATTGAGAAAAATGCAAAATTAACACCTCGTCATCATGATTATTTGTTGGTGACCGGCCAATGGTCTGAAAACGAAACGTTTTCTAAAATATAATGACAAACGGAGAAAAAAAAAATTAACTTTTATGACATAAACCATTTTTTCACTAATGTTTATAGTTTTAAGTAGTCTCTTTCTCTTTTTATTCACACATATATATATATATATATATATATATATATATATATATATATATATATATTAAAGCTCACCCATTACAAATTTAATTCAATTGTTAATTGTAAACATTATTTTGATTAAATCCATATTTTTAATGTGACAATTTTATGTAATTAGGTAAGATTATATAAGATTATATGTTGTATTTTTTTTCTTTATTTATTATTATTATTATTATTATTATTATTATTATTATTATTTTTTTTTTTTTTACAATATTCATCAACTTAATAAATTTCCTGTCTACATATATAAAAAATTTACGTGCCTAATTTTATATTTCGCATAGAGTCCTTAATATCAATGAACCAACCTTACATTTTATTGGAGACGGCGGAGTTATATTAAATTGTGTACTACGGAACGTTATACCAGAACCGATAGACTTGGCTGCCCGAAATCACCTCGCTTTCTGCACACCTTAGTTCACCATTTTGGTACGAGAAAGGCTCGAATCCGCCACCTCTAGGAGAAAACCCGGCATGCAGCTAAGCTAGAGATCATATGCGGACCAACCTTATATATCGTACAGTTTTAATATGAGTAATCAATCTAAAAAACATATATGAAAAAAATGTTTATATAATTCAAATATATTCTAATCTTTGAATGATTTGACAACCGTATATAATTTCAACGATATCTTATATATTATAATATATTAATATTAGTTATATATTGAATTTTAAAAAATATAATATACAAAACTTTTTATACAAGTCAATTATATATAAATAATTCATTAATCCTTGTTAGAAGTTTGAAGACTTGAATTGATGAATGATACTAAAAAATTCAATTAGGAGCAAAATGACAATTTTAAAATATTAAATTCATTTATATAAATTGATTTTCATTTGTTAAAATAGGCATCGATATTTATTAAATTACATCAAATGTAAAAACAGATAATATAAATATAAAGTTTAAACATAAATATTTTTTAATTTAAAAGTCTTAATTTTTTATTATATAATAACTAATAGAAAATTCTAATAGTTATTTACCGTGTTCATTAAAACAGCTATTCATCATAATTAGGGGTTGAATTGGTACGGTACTAACTTTTTTTTCTCTAAATCGTGTACCGTACCAATTATAGTTGGTATACAAAGTTTGCTACCAGAACCGTACTTGGTATCAATATGTTTGGCTACCAACAATTTTAGTTGGTACAAATTGGTAATGTATATACAAACTTTTAATCTTTTATTGTAAGATTTAATCAAAACATCAGATATTTTTGACATTTAGTAAATAAATTAGTTTAATAAAAAAGTTAGTTTCATAGTTCTTTTATTTTACAAAAGAATTCTGTTCAAATAAAGCTAAAGTAACATTTTAATTTTGAGTTTTAACATGATAATAACTATTAATTAATGCGATCAAATGACTTATATCATATTCTTAAAACTGCAAAAACTAAACACACTAGTTAATTGGAATATACGTACGATTTCGTGTATATATATATATATATATATATATATATATATATATATATATATATATATATATAATGAATTGATTGGTACGGTATTACCATGATATTTAAAGTTTTGTACCATTACCGTACCAAGATTGCTTAATTGGTACGGTACTATCAACCAAGGATGTTGGCTACCAAACATATTAGCTACCAACTTTCTTGATTCGGTTGGTAACATTTTGGTTGGTTTTCTGTAGTACAATTTTACCGGACCTAATCACAACTATTTTTCGCAGCCACATATCTAGTAGAGATAAGGCTTAAAGGAATTCAATTAAGATTGCAAATAGTGGTCCAACCATTAGAAGATATTCGGGATTTGTGAAATAAATGACACTAATTGCGATCTTTATGGTGAAAAACGAAAAGCATGTGCCTTTTTTTTTTTTTTTTTCAAAAACTAAACACATCTTTTATAGTAAATAAAGTGGGCAAATTAAGTAGGAATTGGCTAAAAAAGATGCTCATATATAGACACCCTAATTAAAATTTTATATATTTTCATTAGCTGAAATTGCATTGTTTCCGAAAAAACTGATTATAAACATTTAATTATTGATTAAATTAAAAAAAAAACTAATTATAAACATTTAATTATTGGTAGATATTTTAAAAAAACTGATTATAAACATTTAATTATTGATTAAATTAAAAAAAAAACTAATTATAAATATTTAATTATTGGTAGATATTTTAAAAAAATATCAATTTTGACGTATTAGCATTAAGTATTACCACCTAAACTCAACATGGTTTAGGGTATAAAACTGAACATGGTTTTCTTTATTTTAGATTTATTTTTTTACTTTTTTTTTTTTCCCTAAAACTACATGAAATTTTGTCTACGTTCAAACAAATTTAAAAAAGGAAAAATAGCAACCAAATATTCAAAATGTTTGTATTAGCCATAATACTTGTTAACCTAAAATTCGTAAAAACTAAAAAATTAAGATATAAACTATGAGAACAGAAACAGTACTTTTAAGGTTTTACCTTTGAGGGGAATATACTCCTTTCCAACAAGTTCACGATAGTGAGTGTAAGCCAAAAGCCCACAAGCACTTGTCGTCCAGAATAGCACTTCCGGCAGCCCAAATCTGTTTGCAGCTTCAAGTGTAAAGCTCATGCATCCGTCGGAAATTATACAGCACACCGGCAACACACAGTTAAGCTTGTTAATCAGCTCACAGAAAGGTTCCAGACTGTGCTTAGGAACAGATTCACAGAGGTCAGGGATTGACTGGGTAGCTTCTGCGTCAGATGGCGGAAGGCCATCGGGAATGGAGTGAAAACAGAAATCTGAGAGCCCGTCGAGGGAGGAAGGACCTCTGGATCGGAGTAGGCGCTTATGGTTGTAGTGGGTGTTGACGAAGGAAATATGGAAGCCCTTAAAGTGAAGGAGCTTAGCAAGTTTCATCATGGGATTTATGTGGCCTTGTGCTGGATAGGGGATACATATCGCATGTGGTTTTTCCATTGCTGCAATGGTATCCATTTGACGCTTTGTGTGTTCGAGCTCGCGTGTTGCTAGGGTGATATTATTGAGCTGGGTAGAAGGGAAGAGTGGTTGCCGGTATTTATTGCTAAGGAGAGAGCAAAAGGGAATTGTGAACGATGCATTTGTTTTACATATCTTGATCTTTGAATTTACATATTTATTATTCAACAACAACCAGGTAAGGTAAGTTAGATCACATGAATTATTTATAATATTAAAACACAACAGGCTTATGAACATTACTGGTTTCAAGCTTTGGCTTAAGTGGTTTTGCGTCGCTCAATACCGATTGGTTTTGAGCCGGTATTATATGAAGGTGTTGCCATTATTCCCCAATCCGTCTGGTCCACCTGCTTTGCTTCCACTCCTCCTTTTTTCTTCTATTTGTGTTCTACATCCACATAAAGATCGAGAATAGATACGCTACGGCGACACCATATGACGATGACAAATTCGGACCCTATCCTGACTATATGTCGTCGTAATAGTCTATGCAGACGACATGTCGTCGATATACGCGTGTCGGCATAGGTCAATAATGTCATCGGCATTGATGTCGTCGGCATAGCTTCATCTATTTCGATGAGTTGATGTCGGTACAACTTTTGTCAATCATATTTTCGGAAAAAAAAAAGTTTTATTAATAACCTGTGGCGACTTGTTGTCGGAAAACCTATAGCGATGACCTGTTGTCGCCAAAGGTTTAAGCTATTACGATGAGTAGTCGTCGGTATAGGTATTTCACAGCTGTCAATTATGTACCTATAGCGATGACATGTCGTCAGGATAACTACTGATTGTTATTTTAGCTTTACAAATTTTGTATATTATTATTCCTGCATTTTTAACAAATCCAAAAAACATTGCAGCATATATCAAATGAAATATATTAACTAGGTACCATTGTTCAAATTCAAAAACATCAAATTCAAGTTTAATATTACAATAAGTAGTTAACTAACATTGTTCAAAATACTAAAAAAATATCAACCATCATTATCATAATCGTCTTCTCCTTCTTCTCCTCCTTGCTCTTCTTCTTCCATCCTTTCGGCAAATTGTTGAGAGGTACTTACTTGTGTGTTATAGTTGAATAGAAAGTTAGAAAATGATGGTGGTTGGAAGTTCGGAATACATGCCGCCAATGATGCATTATATTGTTGCAAGTATTTTAACATTTGTTGTGCATCAAATTGGGATTGAGATTTAGACGATTTAGAAGTGGAAAACCGTTCATTTGGAATTAAACCGAAGTTGGCGGTGGGTCTCCTACCCACCCCACGAGCATGTCCGCGTCTCGTCCCAATGGCACGTTTTAAACATTCGTCCTTGTTTACTTATCCGCCTTCCCCAACCTCGTTTTGTATTTTCTTATATTCCTCTTGAATTTTTTCCTAAAATAAAGAAAACAATAAAAACAAACAACTAAACTTAAACATTAAAATAATAATAATATTTCTTAAAGAAAAAACTATAATTAATAAAAATAATATATTTAAACAACACATTCATTTCGTTTATCACTTACCAAATCTTCTTGTGATCGAATTGTACACCAACCCGAACCCTCTTTGTAGCAAATTTGTCTCCAACCCTCATTATGCTGCGGCTTGATTCTCATTTTATCCTATAATAAGTGAAAAAACAATAAATATATTTATACAAATGTTAATAACAATTTTAAATAATACTAATGTGTTTTATTACCTCTAAATAACGTCGTTGAGCATAGGATCTACATCCGTGAGCACTTATGTGCGAAAGTTTAGACCTAGTAACTTTATTTTTGACCGACGTGCGTTTGTATTCATCAGTCAAAAACAACAAATCAATCATATTATTCCAAGCTTCGGCGGTCCAATCAGACGGTGGACATCTTCTTGCCCTTTCCACATTATGATATCCACCAACTCTATCAAAATGTTTTTTTTATCTAATACTTGCGCTCTCGATGTAACTGAAGGGTTTGAGCCATAAGAGCTTTCTTATGTGCACATGCAAACCCTAATGCTTGGATCTAGGTTTCTCTAATTGAACATGCAATGTATCCAAGACTTTCATTCATAGATTTAGTGTAAACAAACAATTCATAACATACGAAATCAGATCTAGAAGAATACCTTGAGTTGCTTGCTTGAAACTTCTTGTTCTTGGAGCTTAGAGTCACCATTCTCACTCCTCTTATGGCTTACAAACACCTACTAGCAAAAGGATGATTTTAGAGAGGAAGAGAGGTGAGAAATCGGCCCTAGGGTTTCCTCAATCATAGAGTTGGCCGATTTCCCTCACCCAAGGGATCTATTTATACTATGAGCTCCTAGGATTTCACCCTAAACCCTAATTGGATAACTTAGCCTCAAAGCAATCCAAAGATCCTAGTAGATAAGGCCTTGGACGATTTGTAAGATATCCATATCCTTAAAATCGTCCCTTCCCATACTCATAAGGATTCATAGCCCAAAACACAACTATCACACATTTGACAGTTTACGCCCCTTTATTTAATTAATCTCTTTAAGTCACCAAATTATTTCCTAATTAATTTATGACTTATATCAATCAAATAATATTATTATTCCTTCAACATATTATTCTTATAATACTTTAATGATAATATTTCTTCTCTCTATATAAATCACCCTGTCAAGTTGCTATGGTGAAGGCAACCCAAAAGGACCATGCACAACCGGGTCAAGTACTTACCAAATATAGTTACAGGCTTAAGACATTAATCCAACAGTCTCCCACTTGGATAAGTCTAGTAACTATAAAATGTAAACACAATCCGATTAGCAATCGTAGCTCTCAAATACACTGTCAACTCTGGTCTTATTAATATCATGTCTTTTAGATAAGGGATCGTACAGTCCTCTGTTTTGATATCGTGCAGGTAATCTCATGAAACATTATCATACTTATTGTCTAGCAATTAGTTTCTTGATCTCAGATTTAATTGACATAGAACTTAATTGAACACATCAATTAAGTCCTGACCGGGCCCGACACATAAGTCAAATCAAATCATCGAGTGGCCGTGATATCGCCTTTACCCTCTTAGGATAAAAGTAACAGATAAACTTCAACTTATATGTATTTACTTATTCACTAATCAACTATACACAACAATGCGTTTTATGACATCAATTTACTAATGCGGTTTCGCATTATCAATGCATAATCAATTAGTAAACAATAAACCAAATATCTTGGTTTTATGACCATATGATATTATCGTCTTGCGATCAGTTGCGGTACACTCCATAAAGTGCTTCTAGCAAGCGCAGGTTTATTCCAATGCTCAAAACTTGTTGGTAAACATTCATGAACGTTGTAGCAAGCCTTTGCTATGTCTAATACCATTTAGACAATCTACACACCAATTCATGACAATCTTCATTCATATATACTTCCAACATATGAACGATTGTGGATTGTTTGAATAATTCGATTATTCTTAATAAACTCAATTACTCTAGAAGTTAAAACATGCAAAGTGAAACAATATTTAAACAACTAACATAAGACAAAACTTTTAAATCATAGTCCTTCATTTAATCATCAAATGTCAACTACATCTATCTATTATAAGTTTCCAAACTATCTAATCTAAACTAATATCATCCTTCAGCCTAATGCTGCTAGCGTGCTGTAAGTGTTTAACCCTACTCTGTCCCTTCATAAACGGATTTGATGGGTTATCTTTTGATGATATACTCTTAACCACAAGGTGTCCTTCTACTCGATGTCTAATAAAGTGATACTTCCTGTTGATATGCCGGGATCTACCATGATCCCTTGGTTCCTTGGTCAAGGCAACCTCTCCTTCATTATCACATAAAATTTCCATAGGTTCCTTTATGGTAGGTAAAACTCCAAGGTCACCAATGAAGTTCTTTAACTATATCGCCTCCTTTGACGCTTCGCTCGCTGCAATGTACTCTCACTCGCACATTGAATCAGCTGCAGTTTTTGGCTTGGAACTTTTCCAAGTCACTGCTCCTCCATTGAGGGTAAAGACCGAACCTGACTGCGAACGGTAGTTGTCTCTGTCGGTCTGGAAGCTGGCGTCACTATACCCTCATACCTTTAAGTCATCACTCCCTCCGAGGACTAAAAACTATTCCTTGGTCCTCCGAAGGTACTTAAGGATATTCTTGACGACAATCCAATGAGGTCTGCCAGGGTTCCCTTGATATCTACTGACCATGCTCAAAGCAAAGGCCACATTAGGGCGAGTACAAGTTATAGAATACATGATCGAGCCAACTACGGAAGCGTAAGGTACTCGGCTCATCTCAACTATCTTGGCTTCGGTACTCGGACTTTGAGTCTTACTCAAATTGGCATTACTTTGTATCGGTAGTTCTCCCTTCTTCGAGTTTTCCATACTAAAACGTTTTAGCACCTTATCTATGTAAGTATTCTGACTAAGTCCTATTAGTCTCTTACTTCGTTCTCTCACTATCCTTATTCCCAAAATATAGGAAGCCTCTCCGAGGTCCTTCATTGCGAAACACTTCCCGAGCCAGGACTTAACATCCTGCAGAGTCGGAATGTCATTTCCCATGAGTAGTATGTCACCGACATACAAAACGAGGAAGCTAACTATACTCCCATTGGCTTTGACATATACACATGATTCATCTTCGCTTCGTACAAATCCAAACTCTTTGACTTTCTCATCAAAGCAAAGATTCCATCTGTGAGAGGCTTGCTTAAGTCCATAAATAATGGACTTCTCAAGCTTGCACACTCTATTAGGATGCTTGGCATCGACAAAACCCTCTGGCTGAGCCATGTAAACATCCTCAGCCAACTTGCCATTAAGGAAAGCGGTCTTGACATCCATTTTCCATACTTCATAATCATGAAATGAAGCAATGGCTAACATCACCCTTATAGACTTTATTTTCGCAACTGGTGAGAAAGTCTCATCATAGTCAACTCCGGGAGTTTGAGTAAAGCCCTTCGCGACCAATCGCGCCTTATATGTGTGTACATTCCCATCCACATCTATCTTCTTCTTGAAGATCCATTTGCACCCAACCGTCGTACGTCCGGGCACATTGTCAACCAAATTCCAAACTTGGTTGTCATACATGCACTGAATCTCGTTGTCCATCACCTCTTTCCATTTAGCAAACTCCGGGCCTGCCATGGCTTCCTTATAGCTGTTAGGTTCATCTAGATTTACTAGTGTACTATCACTAATATATATGTCCCCTTCGGTAGTAATATGAAAACCATACAACTGGGGTTGAACTCTAACTCTTTTGGAATGTCTAAGAGGTAAAGATTGGTCAATTGGTTCAACCGGAGTTTCCTCCTCGGGTTGAGCGCCAGCGTTAGAGGTTCCTTCATCGCTCGA